AAAAATAATTAAAAACATATTATACACGGAAAATGTTTTGAGAGTTGTCCAATATTTCGATCGAGTACTGTTTGGCACATAAAGCGAATTCACGCGTGTAAAAAGTGATGTTGATGTAAATAACTTTGATTTCTACATTGTAGAGCTCGATTTAGTCTCAGTAAAAATAATTGATAATTAAGGCAACTAAAACAGAAAGATCCCGTTACTTTTTTTTGTCGAAAAACAGTAAAATAAAAACGTTATGTATTTTTAAAAACACTTATTTAAATCGAAGTTATTTTGTTATTAATGAAATACCATTTCGACATCTGTGCATTAAAACAGAGCCCTTCCTGAAAATAAGGAATATTGGTTCCGCGTCCGTGTGTGCATAAGTAAATTTGAAATTACAACACTAGGTAAGACTTACGATTTTCTGATGGACTACAGAGTTTTGAAAAATATTTCCAACAGGTAATGCCCGTGTCTTAACTTCTCCCCCTCCTCAAAATCTAATTCACTTAATATATTTTAGATGTTTTTTTACCTGTGGTGTCCTAAGCTGTCCAGTTATTGTCAAGTCACCTTCAAATGTTACGTTTCCGTTCAGAATTATTGGTTCTCTTTGGTCTATGTAGAAGAAATTAAAGTTCCTTCCCATTCGGTTAATATTCAAACTTTTGACCTTAAACAGTGTACTGTTACACCAGTTCATGCTTCGATCTCGCCATTCTTTAATATGATTTTCATGTGCGAAGGTTAAAACGAAGACGTTTAATGATCCCACAAGCTCTGGGTTAGAGACAGCTTAAAAAAAGAAAAAAGAAAGTGACATTAGGTTATACAAGACTAAAGATTTAAGATAAATTAATATTCAAAATTAGCATTTACATAGTTGAGAAAAACAAGAGTTTAAGTATAGTTGCATTCTTAAAATCTTATTCTAGTTCTGCAAGTACTCGGTATTAAGTTAAATATAATTACCCATTACAATTTCTGGATTTGCACTGGATGAAGATCGAATGTAATCAAAAGAGATTGAAAGGGCTCCAGCGGTCATACTTTCTCGAGTGTACTGAACTGGAGAGAGTACAAAACGCCAGCCATCATATTGGTAAAGCTGAACAGCATCGTACATATTGCTTATGGCCATCACGAATTCACCGTATCTTCCCATGAATGTAGACACTTTTGTGGCCCCTATTGTTTGTAGGCACTGGAAAGGAATGAATTTGTTCTCCACAAACTTGTAGATGACCGTGTTTACTTTGTATTTTGTGTGTCCATTATCTGTGTACAAAAAAAAAGCTAGTATTTAATGTCTTTCCGGATTTTTTCTTATAAATTTAAAAACATCGTAAAGTTTAAGTGAAAAAAAAAGTCTTAGCGTGGAGGTATACGGGAGCTTTAGATTTGTATGGTTTATCATAACGTTAAGCTTTTACCAATCAAATTATTTAACGCAAGAATTAAGCGTTTAAAAATGGATGCTGCATTATTACATTATATTTTAAATAGTTCTAGACACGTACATACATCTAATCAGTATGAAACTTAAAAGGTTGAATGAACAAGTTTAAGATACTTACAAGCGTCATGGTTATTCGCAATTACCAAGAAGAATTCTTTGGAAAATTGTTGTCCAAGATAAAAATATTCAAAGTCCATTGCTCCGTATGTACGGATTCTTTGAAATGACCTCCAGCTCTTCTGATCGACGTCGTATTTTAAGATCTCAGAATCCACGTCATAGTCATTTTCACTCACGCGATAATTTGCAACTGCTATGTAAAAGTTACTGTTGATTTCAAATGGCTCGAGATCTTTCACGTCGTAAGTGGTAAAGGAAGTATACTTGTCAAAGTAGGTATCTTGAAGATAAAGATAAAATTTACAGACAAACCAAAGCCACTTGTATTCAAATAAGGTAACGTTAACTAGCTTTGAGTTAGTATTTTAAGTCAAGTCACTGTCCAATCGAAACTAAAGTTTAAAAACAAAACTACGGTTTAATAGTGGTGCATAAATTTGTATCATTTCCAAAGTAACAATTAGTTTTATGATCACAGTTATAGCCAAGCTTACCGAGCCACTGGTAAATACAAGTCTCATCTTGTAATGTTTCAGAGGCTTCTCCTTTAGAATTGGCTATTGCTAGATTGTATCTGTTGTTGTTACCCCTGTTGAAATAAAGATACAGTTGAGTTCATCCCATGAACTTAATATTTAAGTTCACTACCCAGGCTGCTCAAGTTAGAGCATTAAGAATTAAAATGCGTACTCTGTAATAAGTTTTTGTTTAATAAAAATTCTGGTATTTCAGTAAGATTAAATATTAAAACATAAAATAAATCGAAGATAAAAACAATATTGAAGCTAGTCGTATTGGGAACAAGTTACTTACATTTGCCACAAAGCAATAGCGGTTGCATATTTGCTGTTAATAGTATGTTCAAGGTCAAGAGAACCATTTTTGAAGACCATTAAATCCGTTCCGTCATCTATAGAAAACAATGTAAAAAATGATTCAAAACAACTTAATTCAAGTTATTTCCTGGTACAATTTATTGTAGCCTCTTAACTTTAAACACTGTTTAGTTACTACTTACGTTATAGTTAGTCAAATATTTAATATGGGGAAAAAAAAGTTAAGAGACTCCGGACTAACAAGGTCATTAATCTACCACTGTCCAATGGTGCAAGTCGTTAATTCATACTATTATGCAAATTACCATACAAGTTTAATTTCTTAAGTATGAGTCATCGTTAAACAAGTATCAAGACTCATTAGTATGTCATGCGGCCATAACAACCTGCTGCAGGACACCGTTATTTTAACAGGAGTGATAGTTTAGTGATTTTCTACCTTCAGTGGTAATCCAAACTGTCACATTTTCAGTGGAATGTACTCTAGTGGACTCTCTCATACCAAATTATGACAATCCATTAAGAAATACCCAAGATAGCACATCTCCAATTTTGATTGAGTTTTTTTTCTTTCTTTCTTCGCATCAAAAGTACGGAAACTATTTGATAGAAGTACACTTTAAGTTTCGTATACTGATAGATTTTTTACAATCTACAATCAGGAGTCATTTGTTGTAAATATAAGACGTGTGCAAAGTTATTCAACAAAAACTGCTCAAGTTTAATTTTGCGCACGCCTAAGCAAAAAGTCACGTGAGGTATCAATAACAATTTTACTATAGCTTAACCTAAGAAAAAAATTTGACGGTTTTTTTCTTTTTTTTGTCATTGGGTTTAAATATAGCTCATTTAGAGTAGCAAAACTGAGATGAAAGGAGGTGCATATACATGATTATTGGTTAGGCTATGCAAACTAAGTTGACAGTTTGTAGCTCAAGTTTTCAAAAGAATCATCTGGGTAGACGGTTATTGATCATTCATTGCCAACTTTAACACATTTACTAAATTTTATGAAATTATCCTAGTTAAAGAGCGTTTAGCGTCTTGTGATATTACCTTAAGCAATTAGCATAGCTAATTATACTTGATACGGTTGTACCGATTTCAGGGAGGGGATGATGACAAGAAACTGTTAATCTAGATTCCATGGCGTTACTATAAAGGAAGCTATTAACGCTGTTTTAGATAGGAAAAACTCCCACCATATACATTTTAAAGAATATGGTTGGTTCTGTAAAGTAAAGTTTGTTTCGAATAATAGGGATGAGATCCAAAGGATCATGTTTGTTACCATCGAGTGTCACTTTCTTATTTGGTGTAGTTTGTTGGTTTGTATTGACAAAAGTCAATATATCTAATCAAGAACGCCTTAGGTGTGAAAAAAGGTGTGGCAAGAAAAAAAAACAATAGACTCAAAGGAATGAAATCAAAATTGGCGGCCAAACTGGTAGCTTTATTTATAGCATTGATAATTTGACAGCAAATATTCATTCATTAGTTAGCTAGCTAGCTAGGCTGCGTACTCCGTTTTGCTCACCATCATGCCACAAGTTAAACAAAAACCGACTGGCTAACTAATGAATGAATGAATATTTGCTGTAAAATATTATCAATGCTACAAGTATAGCTACCAGTTTGGGCGCCAATTTTAATTTCATTCCTTTAAATAACACGCCGAACCCTTTTTTGGCCGCACTTTTTTTTCCCCCCCCACAGTGACTCATTAGATTTAAATTACATTAAGTTACTTCACACCAGAACGGGTTCTTAAGATCACCAAGTTCTGCAGAGTAAAATATGTGAAAGTCATTCTTAATACGAAAGAAGAGCTTACCTCTTTTACTATCTGCTACTAAAATATACATGCAATTTTTGTCAATAAAGCTCACGGCACCTACAGGGTGAACAGCATTCCAACTCAAGACAGGTACCCAGTATTCACCCTAAAATTCACAAAAGATTCGCTATTTTAATCACAATTTACTTGAAACCTAGCGTTTTACTTTATTGGTTTCAGAATCGGATCTTAAGTTGCTCAAACTAAGCCGTTTTGATAGAATTTTAGTTATTCGAAGAACAGATACTAAGTTTTAGTTCGTAGAAAAAGTATTTGTAATGTTAACTCAACAGCAACTGACCTACAGTGCGAAAACAAGCTTTGATTCTGGTTAAGAAGTTAGCACACAGGATCACCTATAAAAGTTTTAATTTTTATCAAACGAGACCCAAAACTCGAGCGCTTTCGAATCGTAGACTATTCTTCCTGAAAACTTTACAACAAGCCTTGATGCTACGTTCCTCCGATGTTTAGTTAGTGTGTGAAAAAAAAAAAGTTAACTAACCATTCCAATAGTTAGATATTTTTAAATATGAAGAAATATATTAACCACTTACAGTTAGTCTTCCTAGTGTTACACTAGCATTTCGAAATTCCTTTTCACTACTAAGGCATAAAGAGTAAGTCTCATTATCATATTTGAAAAGATTCATATACACTGGATAGTTGCAAGTTCCAACTACTGGCTGTATGCTTCGAAGTCTATTGACACCTGCAAATAGAAAAAGAAAAATCCCTCAATGTTCTAGATGGCGCAACGACATTAAATATGGCGGACATGCGATTACGTTTTTTTTGTTATCGATAAGGTTTAGCTTGTTAGTTGCTCCAGTTATTTAACGATGGAAGACAGTCTTAGTCTCTTAGACCTAGCTAAACTTCAGCTTAACGAGCTAGAGATGATAGAAAGTATGTATCCAAACAGCGATGAATTTAAAGTTGACGATCCTTCTGTAGTTCGTCAGATTAAGGATTTTGTGGAAGGCAAAAGCAACGAGCTGCCGCCACGACTGGATTTTACTTTATGGTTTGACATAAAAGGGGTAATTAGTTAAATTACATTTAATTTAAAGAGTAAGGTTAAACAGGGTACTTTATATTCAGAGTAGCTTAGTTAATTTAATGATTAGCGTCATTAAACAAGTAATGCAGAAGAATTTATAATAAGGAAGCAAGATATAATATACAATAGTGTATTGTTAATGAAAGTGTTACTACTTATTGTACTTTTCTTGCGACAGCAGGAGCTAACTAATTTAGACCCATGCGTTATCTTAAATTTAGGTGTTTAATGTATACAATATTTGTGCATTTTTTCTTCATCTATTTTATTAAATACTTATGTGTATAGATTTCAGTTATAATTTTAATATATATATAATGCTTACATTTACTGAAAAATACCTTAAGTCAGTAATGGTTCACAGATGACTGGAAATAGCTTTAGCGAAATTAGCTGTACTGTAAGTTGCCACTGTAATGACAGTTTATGCTACTTACATTTACAAATCTGCTTCAATTTACAATATATTGTTAGTACCAAAGTTATGACTTACAAGAACCTCATCTGCTTACCTCCTCCCCACCCAAAGTTTAGTTTAGGTACACTTGCTAAACAAGATTCTTTAAAATAGCTAAGTTTTAGATACAGATTTGTATTAAAGTTAAATATTAAATACCACAGCTACCTTAATGAGAAAGTTTATCAAGTTAAGGGGCAAGAGCTAAATAACTTGGGTAACACATAGAAAGCAATTGTAAGAGCTACTTACTTTCAGTTGAACATCAAGCATAAGAGGTTTGTCTAAATCAAGTATCAATTAAGTAAATAGTAACTATTAGAAGCTGTACTCTACATATCTACATATGCCCCTTTACTCTTTAAGTTGAAAATGTTAAGAGTTAATTTTATTTACTTATCTTTACAAGACTACAGATTTTAGATTAAAGTAATGATTATTATTATTATTATTATTTTTATTTTTTAATACAGAAGAAGTTAGAAGTCAGTTTTAGTCTTCCTCATGATTATCCCCAATCAGAACCAGAAATTTATGCACGTTCAGCCTTCTTAAGTCGGGATCATCAGTATAATTTAAATTGTGCTCTTATGGATTACCTAACAAGTCTACCAGCTGGAGAGTTGTGTTTAAGTAGCATTATTCTATGGCTGCAAGAAAACTTACTAGCTTACTTCAGTTGTGATAGTATGGAGTGCCACAAAGCCGAGCAACCTAAAGGAGAAATTGCACTTAATAGATTGTGGATTTACAGCCACCATATCTATAACAAGTATAAAAGGAAAAGAATTTTAGAACTGGCCCGTGAATTAAAACTTACTGGATTTTGCCTACCTGGTAAGCCAGGTGTAATTTGCGTTGAAGGTAGTTCCGATTGTTGCAATTACTTTTGGCAAGACATAAAGCATATGAACTGGAAAAAAATTGTTTTGAAGAAAAGTGAAGACTTGGAAACTGAAAATAATGCTATTAACACTGGTAAACATTTTCAGACTTTTGATGAAGTCTCATTTCAGCCAAGAAGAGGTCCAGCAAAAGAATACCACATGGATATGGGAGATTTTTTCAAGTATTTGGAAGAACACAATTGCAGTTATGCATTCAGTGACTTGTTTGGAGTGGATGGTAAAAGTGGCCTATAACAACATTACTTACCATAAAGGTCAATTATGGTATCTTGAATAATATTTGAAGATCTTTTATGCCTATCAGACCTTGGAGTCAAGTGATGAGCTGCAAGTACAGAGTCCAACATGTTCTTTGTTAGAGAATCATAAGAAGATTTTAGTTTTTCCAGGTCTGAAACAGGAAAGATTAAAGATCATAACACAATTTAAAAATTCAATTTAAGAAAACATTAGATTGTATTTTGACATTGTACAATTAAGTTTCTATAGCAATTTCGGGAAGAGGAAAAAAATACATTACCAGTTTCATTGTTTGATGTACTAAAAGCATATAGTATTCCACTGAACAGGTTTGTTATGATGGTTGTATCAAGGCAGACACACTGGACTACCAAAGTAGTAAACAGAAAGAGCTGGAACCACAACATCGTAGGAGTTAACAGAACAAATATTCACATCATTCTGAAATAGATATTGATTTGAGGTTTATATACAGAAGTTTAGTATCAGAAAGTCTTGCTACACAACACACACATATTCAATTTAAATTATATTACCACACACTATATATATCAACCCCCCCCCCCCCAAAAAAAAAAAAGAAAAGTTAGGGTACAGTAAAGGGACAAATCTTACAAACAATAGGCAGTATCACTTAGTACTTCAGCTGTTTCACATCTGCTCTCGAGAGAATGGAAAATTCAAACTCAACCCCCTCCACACTTTTTTTTTGTAAAAACATGATTTCTATTAAATTCCATGTAAGGAATCAACTTCCAATACTGCTGACAATATTTTATTCCACTACTCAATCATCCAGTTAGGAAAATAGGTGTTAACTTAAACATTTCCTCTCCACCTGTTATGTTCAGAGTTTAACACAATATACTCATGGGCCTTTATCTTATTGATTCCAAGGATAATCTTTTACGGTAATTCACCAGCTATCTTCTTTTGAGAAGAGGTAGAAGAGGAAATAATCCTTTTAGCATCTTCTAAAAATTCTTTAACAGCTCAAAATCAACATCTTTTCTTAGATAATGTGACCAAAACAGTACACATTATGAGGCTTAGTTACTTGTACTCACTCAATTTTATAGTTTAGTAATTAGTCTACAACTACACCCATAATTATTTTTAATTATTACCCTTACTACTAACCTCCACTTCGACAGTTTCAAAGGCTTATCTGCTACAATGCAAAGATCCCTTTCAATTATGATATAGGTTTTGTTCTCATTATGATTTCCAAAACATGTTATCTTACATTTACTGTTAAGGTCATTTGAAAACTTTCTCCAACTTAACAACAGATCAAAGTTACTCTGAAATTTCTCAGTGCAGTAAGACATTGTAAAGTTTAATGCTATCAATAATGATTGTCAGTCATATCTATCATTTATGCAACTAGGCAAGTAAAAGTTCAAGCCCCCTTTCAAGGCATTCCACTAATAAAATGTCCAATTTCACTAGGCTTCATTAAAAACAATCCTTTGCTTTTTTTCCCCCATTTGGTGATTTTATCGTCCAAGTAAACTGATCTTTCTAAACTCACCTGCTGGTCCATCAGTTTTTGTACCGATATTGTGAAACACCTTGTCAAATGTTAAGTTCAAGAACTAAGTACATCAAGTCTACACATTTCTTAGTTTAGATAACTTTTTCCTGCAAGTAAGTATCAGTTTTCCCCATAAGACAAAATTTTACACTAGAATCTACCATTATAGTGGCCGATAATTTCAGACCACAATCATCACCCCAAATACATGCTTATGTTGTTGGTCTACCGAAGATAGAAGGGGCTCATGTGATTGATAATACTTCCTTTAAAACCCAAAAGTAAGAGCATTCAGGTGCTGGCGTTTTTATCTTTTTTTTTTTTAATACCTCAATTTTACTTCTTGGGAAGAGACTCAAGGCTATTAGAATAGGAAACGTAAAATAGATTCACTAACAGTCGTCTTAGACCTTAGTAAAACAACATTAGTTCCAAGTTGTTTTTAACAAATATCGGCAATAGTATTTTTGCTTTTCGTTTATCTATCGGCTTCAAAGAACCTGCTAGTACTATGTATCATAAAAAGCGATAGTATACATTGATTTACTTAGCTTTAAGGTTTATTACATTCACTGATTCAATAGCGTCCTAATGAAAATCATACCAATAAAATTACTACATTATTAAGTTACTTTTATGGAACTTTACAATTATATTAAAGACAACCTAAATACTAGCTACAAACTCACTAAAGAAAATTCATATCAAGTAAGAAAGATTTTCATAACATAAAAAGCGCACCTGAAAGTGAAGGAAGACGACTGATAGTTTGTTATTCGAGGCTGGCATTTATAAGGTGGCGTAAACACATGGAAGATAGCTATTGGTTATCCTGTGTTGTTCGAAAAGAGGAAATAATTTCTCTAAACTAGAAGGGGGGTAGGGTTGTAACTTTTGTTTTTGTAACTTGAATACGCATACATACATACTTTTCGCCATATTTGATGAACTTGCACGTTGTATTTTATCAGTGCTTTATCAATTATGTTGTATTACTCATTAAACTGTGATGATTTGTTTGAAAATGGAATATTTTGTAATAATAAAACATTTGAGACTTTGTAAGGTTTTGTACTTACAGCAGTTATTAAACATTACAATTTTTTAAGTTTTTGATATGTTGTCTAATTTTTTTTTATATGATTCTGTATTTTTCTGCGTGATAAGCATATGAACGGAGTTATTTTCATTGGATAACTTCAAACACGTGCATTACTCTGATGAGCAAACTCCCGTCGCTAAAGAAACGTGGTTTCGATACTCGTGCTAGGCACAGCACAGGAAGCTCGATGTATAGCTTTACGCTTGATAATAAACAAACTTATGAGCAAATTTATTTTCACCTTTTGTTCTGACAGTACTAGGAAAAACAATTTTTCACTTGTCAATCAACCTTTTAAAGGTAATAATTGTTTGGTTTCCTGGTAACCCTAAAAAAAATTAATTTTTTTATGTAGTAAACTGAGAATAACACATCGTTTACAAATAAAACTTCCAAAACGATAAGTTGATAAGATGCACAGTTAAACGCTACTATTTATTTTGCTTGGTTTTAAATTTGTGAGTCAGAAATGTTTTGAAGTTTTATTAGTTTTCATCTCTAAAGCTATAATTATAATTATGAAAATGCAAACACTTGCTAAATTCTATATAAAAACGACTACTGTTATTACGAATTTCTGGAAAGGGCATTATAGTTGTTTATGCTGCTAGTATGACATAGTAGTTAGCGAGCTGGACTATGGATATAATGTTCGTGTCCCGTTACCGCAGAAAACAACAAAAATAAACGCTTTCAACTCTGTAAGATCGTGGGTGTGTTACAGTCAAATATCAGTATTAGGTTAGGTAGGAGTTGGCAGTGGGTGCTGTTGATTAGCTGCCTTATCTTTATCAGTTATTTCTAGTTGTCCATGTGTGGGACAGGGGAAAGTTTACGTCTTACAACACTAAAGCTCAGTGTTCAATTACTCTTAGTGGACACATCGCTCAATGTGGTTTTACTCTAAAAATAAAAATCCTCTAGTCTATAGTTCAAAATTTGAGACGGCTATCACAAATAAGTACAAACATGTTTTCAAACTGATAAAAAGTGAAACTAATTTGTTTTGTTCTTGAGCTACTGCGTCTAATAACATAACATAATGTTTGGGAATAACAAGGGACCTGTTGGTCTATCTCAACTTTCCCATTCTCTAAACTAAAACTGTTAAAAAATCTCAAAGCCAGCCCTTATCACTCATATAGTTATCAAGCTTATTCTTAAACTCACTTAAATTTACTACCTCCACAACAGTCGAAGGCAACTCATTCCAAAAGTTAACAACCCTGTTAGCAAACTAAAACTGTCTAGCTCAAAATGACTCCTACCCTCCAAAATTTATATTTCTGTCCCCTAGTCCTACCATTCTCTCTGTTAAGTATGAAAGATGATGCATCAACACTATAAATTTTCTTTACAGTCTTAAACACCTCAATCAGACCCCCTCTCACTCTTCTTTTTTCAAGAGAAAATTTGAGAGATTTCAACCACTCATCGTATGACAACCCTTTCATCTCAGGCACCATTCTAGTAACCCTCCTCTGAATCTTTTCCAATAATTCAATGTCCTTCCTGAAATTATAACGCCTTTAGACTTGTATTCAATATTTCTGTCGATACAACGTAAAATCCTACAAGCACGAGAATACTGCTTGGATGGTTTAAGTGACTGATCAACCATTACACTAAGATCCCTTTCTTTCATGACACTGTTAACGTTTTTCCCATCCAAATTATACTTATAATTCAAATTATGATAGCTTTCATTTATTTTAATTAAAACTCATTTGCCCAACTCACGAAACTATCTAAACCCTTTTGTAAAGCAGCGGCATCCTCTTCACAGCTAGCAACACCTAAGACCTTAATGCCATCTGAAAACTTGAGTAAGTTATTGACCATTCTTTCATCTATGTCATTGATGTAAATCAAAAAGAGCAAAGGTCCTAAAACTGAGTCCTGAGGTACCCCACTTGTAACATTAATCCAGTTTGACTAAAGTCAATTTATAACAATCCTCTGCTTTGTTCCATCCAATTAGATAACTTATCCTCCACACCTATAAAGATAATTTTTTCAAGCCTTTTATGTGGCTCTTGTCAAATGCCTTTTGAAAATCCAGATATACCAAATATACACCCTTATCTACACAAGCTGTAACCTTTTCAAAGAATGTCATAAGATTTGTAAGGGAAGATTTTCCCTTATTAAAACCATGTTGACTATAAAATAAAATGCCAAACTTAGTTAAATGACTTTGCAAAGCATCTTTTATCAGACCTTCTAAAACTTTTCTCACAACTGATGGGCCTAAAATTATTATGACAATTTTTATCACCTTCCTTGAAAAGAAGTGTGACATTAGCTAACTTCTAATTCTCTGGTACCAGCTCACTATTCAAGGGCTTATATATATATATAAAAGGAGCAAGTGGTTCACATATCCAATCCTTAACCTCTTTTAATACCCTTGTGGAAATATTATCTGGTCTAGAAGCCTTATCGTTCTTTAAACTTCGCAATTTTTTCTTAAGAAGCTCAGAGTTAATGCTGTCATCTTGTTTGATCTCGTTTCCATTTATCAGCTGATTAAGATGTGGAATACTGCTTAAATCTTCGTTAGTAAAAACTGTTTGTTTGTTTGTTACGGATTTCGTGCAAAGCCACACGAGGGCTATCTGCGCTAGCCGTCCCTAATTTAGCAGTGTAAGACAAGATGGAAGGCAACTAGTCATCACCACCCACCGCCAACTCTTGGGCTACTCTTTTACCAACGAATAGTGGGAGTGACCGTCACATTATAACGCCCCCACGGCTGAAAGGGCGAGCATGTTTGGTGGGACGGAATTCGAACCCACAGCTTGCGAGTCGAGCTCCCTAACCACCTGGCCAGTAAAAACTAAAGAAAAAGCAGAATTTAATAACTCATCCATCTCATAGTCATCAGATACGAGCCTTCCTTTATCATCCCTCAAGGGTCCTAACATTTTATTTGCCCTTAATGTAATTAAAGAAATCCTTACTTTAATTTTTACATTTTCAGCCAACCTTTTCTCATACATCGCTTTTGATGTCCTAATTTCTTGTTCTTCTATAATTTTATAAATTTACCGTCATACCAGTCAATTTAAATTTCTTAACTTTATGATTCTCATTAGTTTCTCAATAATATCATCAATATCATCTGGTGATTTTTTTTTATAAATTCCCACTAAAAGCCTTTTCCTTTTATAGCTTGACCCGGTGGTTAGGGCGCTCCACTCACAATCTGAGGGTCGCGGGTTCGAATCCCCGTCACAACAAACATGCTCGCCCTTTCAGCCGTGGGGGCGTTATAATGTGACGGTCAATCCTACTATTCGTTGGTAAAAGAGTAGCCCAAGAGTTGGCGGTGGGTGGTGACGACTAGCTGCCTTCCCTCTAGTCTTACACTGCTAAATTATGGACGGCTAGCGCAGATAGCCCTCGTGTAGCTTTGTGCGAAATTCAAAAACAAACAAACCATTTATATCAGCTAATAGAAATCCAAATGGATTTAATCTCCTTGCTATTATTTTTGATATCCTCAACTTCAACAGGATGTAATAAGTGTCTCTTATTCTTTGTACATTCTGATAATTGTGTTTTGGAAGGGTGAATTTGTTCTTTCACAAAAACTGAAAAGAAATGAAAATTCGTGAATCTGTTTTCTGAGTTGAAGAATATGTATTTTTTTATTCAGCAGATTCTCCGTACAAACTAACAAGTTATTCACATCAAACATACTTACTTGTGTCAGTTTAAATATTTGATCAAAAGGTATTTCCTCTTGTAGTACATAAGCACATTATTTGTTTTCTACTCCCCTAGTCAATTTGTATATTAGTTTTTGTTTTAATTATTATATTTTTCACCGTTTTCGGTTTCGACGCAGTGAGGCGCTAAAATGAGTTAGTCAACTTTGTACTTTGTTGGAGAACTCGGCTTGTTCTCCTGTAACGGTGTAAAAACAAAAACAACTTTTAAGCCGTTATTAATACAGTAATTTTTCTTTCGACGAATCGAATAATGGCTTTGGGCGTGATGCCCTTGCGCACGCTCCTGATAATGCCCGTGGATAATATTACTTGCAAGTTACAGCGACTTTATGAGTTATATCAAGAAGTTGACTAAAGTGTGCTTCATAAGTTCAATGGTTGTACAGGTAATAATATTAACTAATATCTAGAGGTTATGCCTCCACTTATACGTAATGAGAATGTCGTATGCCTGTTGCAATGAGTAAATGCGATGCTAATTAGAAGCTGTAAATCTACAAGTCGAGGGCAATCTGATGGAGGGTCCTGTTTTATATAGACATCTGAAGGAAGCATCTATGATTATGAAACGTTATGTAACCAAGTATTCATACGTTGTTTTTGTCTTTATATATATATAGATGAAGATTGTTTTCATCGTGTATTACACACCATATTTAACCTAGCTTAAACTCAGTCAGTGTAAGTTTAGCCTTGTTCTTTATTGAATCTACTCATTGGAAGATTTATCCGATATAGTTTTCAAGTTAATATATTTCACCTGAATATATCACAGAGTGGATAAGGAACAAGAAATCTTGGTGTCGAGGATATTGGTTGTGGGTTTACTGTGGACTTTTATAATAATTATTGGAGTATGTACTTTGCTTGCTTGAACTCTGACTATCACTTAAAAGGACTTATTAGTTTGAGAAATGGCATTTTTGACAACTACAAAAACTTGCAACATTGGAGTGAGTGTTGGTTGTCTGAGAGAGAAGTTGCATCTAGAAAATGTCCTTTTCTGGACTTTTACTGTTACCACTAAGTTCCAAGAACCTTATGATGTTGAGAACTTCTCTATTAGGTGGCAAACATGAAACCATGAAGAAAGCCAAACAAATTACTTCTTAAACATTTAAAGGTTTGGTGAAGGAAGACCTGGACCAGAAGAAACATGGCATTGATTTTGTTCCAGGCATCTGTATCATATAAGGGTCAACCAACAACCTGTGCATACTAGCATTGTGATGCAGCCACACTGGTTCTTAATAAATGAGGAGGGTTATCCCCTGGTATATGTGATACAATAGCCACTGGTACCTCCACTTGAACTTTGTCCTAAACAAGAGGGAGTGAAGTTGGGTCACTTTCAGGTGAACTGTCCATACCTTACCAAGCAGGAAGGTGGGTCTGGCTATTTTGGTCAAAAAGGCAGGAAGTTTTTAATGGCAAACAGCAAGTAGTGAATACTACAGCTATTGTCCACCAAAATAAAAGGAGTCCAAGTCAGATCTGGCCACTGATTTGAGGGAGTGCAATGAAAAACTTGCACCTAAAAGTGATCAGCCTAGCTCTTTTAGGGCTTGGTGGTTGTTGGTACTTGTCTATTGGTATACAAGAGTGAGAGTTAAAGAGTTCCTGGGAGTGGTCAGACACTCTAAACAAAGCAAACACTTAGTCTTATAAACATGAATTTTGTTAATGTTCTTATGAACAGACTAGATGTAAATGGAGGGTTCATGCTCTTACTACGTCTGAGGGAGTTTATTTATTAAATGAATATAATTGTTGGAGACCCCAATTCTGGCATTAGCAATCCACTTAAACCCTCCAGTTTTGTTTCAGCTGCATCATGGAAAGAAGTTGTGATAAAAATCACTAAGTTCAGGATTTCCTATTCAGCTAGTGTCTGAATATCACTAATGAACTGAATACAGCTAAAACCAGCCTGACCTCCAACCTAGTACAGTCCATGAATGGAAATTCATTGCTGGCTGATGCATCTGATACAAGAGATCTAGTCAAGTCACTTGTTGGGCTGACTTTGAAGTTCCAGTGACTGAGCAGCCCCAGTCAGTTGCAGATTTATCTGTGAAACCCAAGGCCTTGTTGGAAGAAGCAACCATCAACCTTGGATAAACTTTTACAATGGTCAAGCTGAGCCTGCAGGCAGCTCTGTCATAGTCTTAAAGGATGAGAACATTAAAACCCTAATGAAAATATTTTGCACAAAATATTTACTTGGTAGTTCTATAGTGGAATTCATATTTTTTTGAAATATTTCAAGACTGCTGTAAAGCTATATTTTGTGTGTGAATAAATAGACAACAGTGCCCTCCAATGGTAGATTATGTGATGTTGCAATCCTTCTTATGTTTGAATTGAAATGACCACACACAGTTATTACTAGTTGCTCTGGATAAGTCTGACTTTTCAATTTACCTAAATAATGTAAAGTTAAGTAAGTCTGGAATAGGATTTTAACCAAGGAAGTTTGGAGAGAAAGTAGTTTAGATTCAGGAAAGTGATTGCCTGTAATACCAAGCAAGTAAACATCCTGTGTTTGTGAAGAATAAATATTATTAATTATATTTCTGTACAATTGTGTCCAATTTCTTTATTTCCTTCTCTCAAATTCAGTTACTCAAGAGAATTCTGAATTACTTCTTAATAAATACATTGTTTGAATCACCTGTTATTCTGCTTACCTATCTTGTTGCTCTAAATTTAGTTGAACCCTCAAATATCCAATATTAATACACATGTACATACTTGAAAGAACTGTCGAAGCCTAAATGAAATATGAATTTTACAAATAAATATTATAGTACTTTAATGCAAAAATACCATTTGAAACTGTAAATTCAAATTTTTTCTCTGTTACATTCTACTTAGATATTGTATTCTATTTTAGAATATTTTAATGGAACAGCCAACAACAAAAATTACTGAAACAATTTTGATTATGACTTTTAAATAGTATTTTCTTCAATCGTTTAAGTAACTAACATGGGCAGCACTCATGTTTACCTGAAAAATGTAAATATCAATATTCACCATAATCTTTCAGATATGCTGAAATTTTTAACCTTTTGTTTATCATAAATAAATCAAACATAGTAAAGATGTGCAATTAAAAATATTACAGAGATGAATATAAGCACCAACTTATAATACACATTTTACATCAATATCCCAAAATTCTTGTGTTACTTTATGATAATAATTGATACAAAATATATTTTAGAGATTTTTTAGGATTTAACAAATATATCGGAAGTAGATTTTGTGAAGATGAATCAGTGGTTTGCTTGATGAGGATTGATGTCTGATTCACAAATGACTTGATATGTTTGGTATAATGAAACCTGAAAATAAATCAATGTGCAAAAATTAATTAATTAATTCTTTTCTTACTGGGCACATATTTTGATTATTATACTACAACTTCTATGTTTATTGGGTATTGTAATCGTTAAAAGTTAAAACATAATAATAATTTTAAAGGCAACTTTCTGATAGCCTTGCTAGATGAGCTCTAGAATAATTTTTTTTGACAAGTTTTGAGCACATACTATGAATTCTTACAGTGGATGATTTTGATGAAGAGACAAAAAAAGCATGCACTAAATGCAAAAAATGTAACCAAGTTGAACAATTCATTCCTTAAAATTAATGGTCTACTTAAATTGGGGATAACTTGCAACTTCATTTCAAATTTTATTATTTGGCCCAACACTTTTCACAATATAGACTGAAAAACTAAATCTACAAAATTATGATATTAAAAATAAATATAAAAGTGGGTTCACTAAAACAGACACATCTTCAACCAAAAAATAACACACAAATTTGGGCTGATGACATCTAATGCTGTTTAAAATGGTAATCTTTAGTATAGGATTTTTTTATATCTCTTACATGATTACATGTACTCTTTAGACCGTAAAATTCCCCTGAAATCCACTTCTTTGAAGTAGACTGGTGATATGTTTTTCACATGCATTTATTATACTGCTGGCCACTTTAGTAAGACCACACCTAGTACTGGTTTAGACTAACTTTCATCACCCAACAACATAATGAACAAGCTGTGGCTTAAAATTCATAGATATGTATGTACATGTATTGCCAGAGAATTAGGTTAGAAAACACAACATTATAGTTCATCTCACAAATCCAGAGATTGTACTGGTCAGGAAGATGACTGATGTCTCAGTTTTGCTCTTTGAATCAAATATTGGGCTGTTATAAATTCTTGATGATCGAATAATGTTCCTATATTAATAAGTTCATGTACAACAGTAAATATTTATTGTATATATAATTTATTTTTACAAGGCTGATAAAACCTTATTTTCAGAACTGTGTGACATACATCTTTTAACCTATGCAAAGAGAAAATTTAAATGTTCCTTAATCTCAAGTAGTTATAAAATCAGTAAATACAAAATTGAGATTGTTTTCAATGAATAAAATTATGTTTCTTTATGTAACTTAATAAATTAAACAATTCTTACAATCAGGATCTGAGTTACAGTTTCAAAATATGTTTTCACTTTCCAGGTGCTTCAGATGACCAATGTGAAGAAAGTGTAATGTTAAAACGATTTTTTTTCTTAAAACTTGAAATAGTTGTGCACTGAATTGAGGGTCGTGAGCATTGCCTTGCAAGATACTGGAACCCTCTTTAGTGCACTACCATAGATTTCCTAGCCTTTACACGTAAGTGATCCATGGGGTGTGGTTCATTATTGCCTCAAATTTTCCAAAAATAAATACAGTTGAATATATTTCTTGGAATATCAAAAAAATTAAGTTATAAGATTATTACTTTAAAAACAGCTGATGCAGGATTTATAAATTAACTGCCATTGGTCATATAAATGAAAATGTTTGTAATAATACAAAGTAAAATAATAATAAAGTTAATAATACTCTGGTAATTATAACATCTGCTACTGTGTCTACCTTACATTGATAATTTCTGCACCACATGGTGAAATGGTAATTTCAAATGGATACCTGACTATGTGGCATGAAACTATTTATCTAAGGTTAGTATATGATATTTATAATGATTATAAGATAGTGCATATCATCTGAAACTAGAACAATATCTAATTTATACTGTTTATGCTATTTCACACAGTAAGGTGGCCATATGCAAATTAGAACAATTTCAGCAGTGATAAAGAGATACTTGACTTAGGATTGGATGGTTAGAGAGATGATTAGATTCATGATGAGTAGTAGAATGGCAGCAGCAACAACAAACATTTGATACATTTGTGTACAGTAACAAACATTTTGTTACTGTACACACATGTCAAATGTTTGTTGTTTTTGCCATTTTTCTGCTGCTCATCATTAAACTTTGATTCCTGTTGATTGATTCTGATAATCAGCTTCTTTATGCACAAAATAACTCAGATTTAAAGCTACTGAAGAACAATCTGAAATTGGGAATGAAACTGATGCTGAGAATATTCATGTGGTTTGCATTACTGTACATGATATATTTTTTCCCCAAGGAGAGTAATGATGAATTTAAAAAATAAATTTATTAGTGCCTCATCAATACTTACTACAGATTCCTAATGTTTTCGTGACTCTTGCAGCTGTTGTTTCAGCTGTTTATTTTCTAGTAAACTAGTTTGTAACTGCTGTTGAAGCTACAGAAGGAAGAAAGAATTAAAAAGGGCAAATATTAAATAATTTATACTTAACAAAATTAGTTCTGAGGAAATCACATGAATTATTCTTTTCTAAAAACAAAATCTTAGCAAAAAACAAGTTTACAAAACATGGATTTTTAAGCAAACAGTATGTTACTCAAGAATTAAAACATCAGATTCACTGGTAGTTTTACTGATGCCAGTTATAGCACAAAAATAACCAAATTAGCTTTCCTCTATATGTATGTCTTTGAAAGACCCGTTACTTTTACTCACATGTCTGAATAAAAATATATTATGCTAACATACAGTACTCATAAAGACTATATTAAAAAAATGGCTGCCAGGTAAAAACAGAGGTAGGCTCCCATGCTGCTATATTCCACAGTTGTTTTATGTAGTGAGCCATAAACTCTCTAAAAACTTTTCAAGATTTTGACTATGAAATATTTTTGAAACTTGAAGATTCTCCATGTTACACTCAGATAATGAGGACTGGTTTAATCTCCCATCCTAAAATCAAAGTGTTAGATCTTTATTTGTCATAGGTTTTGGAGGCCTGTTGACATTGTAGCTTGACAGTGAAAAGTAAAGTTTGTACTTCAGTAGATCCCATACTCACTTAGAGAATAGTTGTGTTGTTTTACATCAAAAGTTATGTTCATGCAGTAGGCTGTTAAGAATGTAAACAGATGACTATATAGAGGTATATAAGTAATACTGTGGTAGAAGTAATTATTCTATCACTCAACTGTTTTCGCACTTGTCTTTGTTCCTGTAATTTTTTACAAGATTATGCATTGTGGAAGTTTCAAAACTAGTGTAAAAAGGTTATAAATATTGTGTGGTGTAACCTGACTCATATTTCATTCACCCAAACACATATATGCATCAAATCAACCATGACAAATGGATGAACAACAAATACTTGGAAAATACAAAAATGTTCTCCAAGTAAGAAAAACCTAGATTTAAAGATAACACTAATAATGTAATTGACAAAATGTGGCCACAGTGTCTATTTCTTGTTTTAATATCTGGTTGTTGTCCCTCTGGCCCTGATAACTGCTTGACATTACCATGGCATAGAATGCACAAGAGACTGAATGTAGGCAGGGGTGAGTTCAAGATACCACACACAGATTATGGCTTCCTGTAGTTAGTTCCAAGGTGCTTTTCAGTTTATTCTTTTGCACTATGTTACCCATTACCTTCCATTAGTTTTCAGTAGGGTTGAGATCTATGCTGTTGCCTAGCCAGAATAATGTCTTAATCCATTCCCTTCTTATATATCCTTTCACTTGAAGCAATGAAATAAAACTTAAGATGTCTCTTCAATACAAATAGAGTGAAATTCCCTCTTTATTTTACATCTACTGCATAAAGTGTATGAATATTACCAGCCTTTTTTTTTAGCCCTGTGGAGCAGAGTCATCCTGGAATGTGCACTAGTTAGTGCATTGATCCTGATGTAGTTATCGGAACTGACACTACCTTTCACAAAATACAGGCATCCCATATCTTGGCCAGAGATGGATCCTTATGTCATCTGACCCTGCAGGTGCTTTGCAGTTGCATTCAAACATGTTGACTGAAACTCTTCTTCACATTAACATTGTACAAAGTGCTTCCCATCCCACCTGTGCAGGTTGAACTTTGATTCGCCTGAGAAGATCACATTGCTATTTGGTCCAGTTGAGCTTCATATGTTGTTGGTGAGGAGGGATTTCTTTCTTGGCCGTCTTGCTGGGAGATGAATGCAGGCAAGACCGGATGGTGAGCATGATGACAGTGATGCTTTAAGTTTCCTGCTATGTTATTTTGAGATCTGTGGATGGCAGTCAATAATTCTGCAGGCTCATACATTACAGAACATGATCTTCAGCTGCTGTGGAAGCTTTCTTTTTACTCCATCCCTTCCACTGCTCCACACAACCAGTCTCTTTATATCTCTGCACTCAGAGGCTCACAGTAGTGGTTAAATTTAATTCTTCTAATAATCAGCCTTGTTGAAGTTCCTCTTTGCTAAAAAAAACAGCAACTGCTTTTTCTGTGGAGTTAATTCACAACCCTTGGCCATGATGGCATTACACACACATTGTAGGAGATAGGCTTTTAAACTGACTCTCAGTAAGAACCTCTATTTATAAACAACAAAAAAATGGCTGATGCAATACTCAGACAGCCTATAAAGCTGCTGCTTTAATAATTAGACAGTATTGCATTATTCATGAAACATTCATGCATTAGGGCTTCAAAACAAAGGTTGATTCCAAAGAAAAGTGTGAAAAAATTGGGTGACGCAATAATATGTTCCACTACTATTATTATTTTTTTTTAAAACTGAAAGTTCATAAAGAAAACTTTCATATAATTCCTTTTATTTTTTGTAGATCTCTTAAATTAACAAATTTTGTATTACTTCCTATCCCAGAGTGAAAGAAAATATTCTTAATACATTGTACATCACATAAATGATGTATGTCGTAAGTTAAAGGAGTCAGAATTGTTAAACTTTATATAAAAAAAAAGTAGGCCCTAAGATAACTTATGATGTAAATTTATTTACACTTTAATTCATTATCATCTTCCATTCAAGCATGGTGCATTCTCCTTTACTTGAAGAAATTTTATCTGTTTCTTCACCAGGTGCTCATTTAGAAGTATTTGTTATATTTAAAATAATATTAGTTTTAAATGAATAGCCTGTGAACTTTAAATTAGACATCCAGTTAGCACCTAATTTGTAAAAGGATGGTTTATATTGTAGTAGAAGGCTGCATGCTTGAAAACATAATAATCTGTAAGTAAGGTACATGCATGCACATGATGCTTCATGCCAGTATTACACATTATCTGCCAAAATAGTCTTGCAACAGTATCCGGTCATGTGACCTCTTCGTTCAATACTGTGTATATATATATAAATATCTGTGTCTGTGTAAGCTTCTTTTACCTGATG